TAGGGCGCCAGACCTCAAACTCAACATAACGCATAAAAGTAGCGTTGAGTTCCAAATGTAAATTAAAATAATTTGCCGCCGCGGTTTCTCTTCGCAGACGACGCAAATTTTGGTGATTTCACGTTGTTGTTTTGCAAAGGACGGCTAAGAAATGTTCAAAGTTTTAAAACGTACGTGCTGGGCTATTGTTCTGCCAATTAGATCTATTGTTTTTCCACGTTCTCCTTGCCGCCGCTGTCGTGGTTTGCTTAAATTCCCTATTGTCCCTATTGATGATACGTATCTGGTGCTCCTTGCTCGTTTCTGCACTACTGTAGAAGCTTTTATTTCTAAAAAGCAAGTTATGATTCCCTATAGCGCAGTCTCTAGCGTCATCTGGCCAGTTGCATGACATCATGAAGTAGACGCGACTTGTCAGTGTTAGTAAACCTCGATGATTACCCTTACCATTCACTTGAATAAAAATGAGGCAGGTGTTTAAAGATCAAGGCATTGATGACATCGTCGAGATTCTAAGAAAAAATCAGGAACTTCAGAGGAATTCTCTCTTTCGACATTGGCACTTGCTGCAGCGATACACGCTACATATTATGCATGGAGGTTCTTGTTTGTTTCTGCTCCACTGGACACATTTCTTAGTAGCAAGTTAAATCTAAAACCCAGTCACGAGCGTCGTCTGGCAAGTTCTACGATTATATCCTGAAGGAGAAGTGATTTGTGCTTTTACCCGCAAAAATTGCAAAATTCGCTTATTACCCTCATTCACTTTAATAAGAGCGAGCCATATGCAAAAAACAAAAACTGAAGAAAAATCCCCGAAGTCCTGAGAATAAATCTGGTGCTTTCCGGTTTATGTAAATAAAGCCAAGCATCAATGACGTCATCGAAATTCTGAGAATATATCTGGGTAGCTTTCTCAGAATTTATTTTTCACAAAGATGGCTGAAGTTAACGTTACTATGTCATCTCTCCTACTCTACAGTTTTATTGCGATTATAATTACAATTATCTCTTTCTTTTTGATCAAGAAGATTCTTACAAGAAGAAATATTGAGGAAGCGAAGCGTAACGCTTCCAAAGAAGTACAAACAAGTCCTGTCAAACATTTGGGGCGAAGAAGAACGCGCCATGGCGTTCACGCACGAAGAAGTCCATTGAATTCTCGCGTTCTTTCCACGGATAAAATTATTCCTCGAAGTGTCAATTATCACTTCACAAGACAATGCAACTACAAATGTGGTTTCTGCTTCCATACCGCAAAGAACTCCTTCGTTTTACCAATTGAAGACGCGAAACGAGGATTGAAGATGCTTAAAGAAGCAGGTAGAGTCTTTCATGGAGTCGTAAGCTTCATAGACTAAATTTGAGAACGTAGGCTTTCCAACATAACGATTCGGAGTAGTCAGTTTTCATCTTCAAACCGGACACATTTAAAGAAGCTAGTAGTGAGAATACTTTTCCCGGCGGAAGCTATCTATTTGCTCTAATGAAATCCATATATAATGAAGTAACCGTGTTATGCGATAAACTACGACTCAATATCTGGAATCTGAAATATGAACGATCTCAGGCCACAGCCAAACAATTTTATAACGAAAAATTGCGAAAAATATTTAAGGAAAAAAAAGGATCGAGCATAGTGGAAGGGGTTAGGTGAATCACACCCACCCGCAGTTAAAAGACTGCCGATGTCTTTCTGCGTATCGCTCGATACTAAGATGCACAGATAGAATAGAAGCGAGTCATGGTTAACTGATTAAAGTCTTTGTCCATGAATTGCTTTCCTATAATTACCTTTTTGCTCTATTTGGTTAGAAGTGAACAGGTGATAAATAGAGAGAGAAATCCAAAACCGTTTTGAGTGTTGGTGGAGTATTCGATAATATGCAGTATTTAGACCTGTTGACGAAAATCAACTAAAACATTATTGGCCGAAGACGAGTTGAATTTCATTCACGAATATTCTCAGAGCATGAGGAGAACATTCGTTTTAGTATAACAGATTTCTCGCGTAAATAATCTCCGAGATGAAGTTTAGGGGATTATTTAACAATATACACTTCGCCTGAGGGGATCGAATAACTGTCAATTGGTATGATTGTATATAAGATATTTTAGAGAGCTCATCCTTGCAGTTCTTACATCACAGGAACTGTAAATTCAACGAGTAATATTCAATTTGCCATCACAAGGGGTCCTACATTTTCATTTTGCATCTTGGTAACGCCATCCCCTCTTTTTGCGAGTGATCCTTGCAACTGGGCCAGCCATGAGACTGCACGAGCTCAAATAAGGCTCTTAAATTGCCAGTAGCAATCTCTTTTTGTCTCCCTGAAGGTTACAAGAGATGAAAAGGGAAAATTTGGGGTGACACTCAGGACGGCAGTTTCAATCAAGATCTATCCCTTCATTTTGCATTTGTTACTATGTACCTCTACCGTCAAATCCTATTTTGATGTTCTATTCTAATTTCATCCTGGATACCCCCATATTTCTAGAATGATCCCTACACGTTGCTTCTTTTCCATTCCGTGATCTGTTGATGTTTGTTTTCTGTAAGCTTGAACAGTATCAGGCATTGTTCAAACTTGTTTGTTTCAAACTTGAACGATGATAGGATGCTGTGTTGCCGAGTGATTTAGGCTAACCTGGTGGTCCAGGGCTTGAGCCTTTCAACCTGCCACTCAATGGACTTATAATTTCCTCCCAGTTGTCCCGAGTTCAACTCCTCGGTTGTCGCATTTTGTATACAGCCAACTGGTCTGTCTCCTACAACTAGGGATTTTTGAAAATACTACGTATATTTAGTCCTTCATTTCTAATTTGTTGATATTGACCTTATTGTGTGATCAATTAGGTATACACAAATACAAGCAAGTCAAGGATTCTGTGCTTTTCATTTTTAGGGATGGAAAAAATCAACTTCTCTGGCGGAGAACCTTTTATCCACAAACGTGGCGAATTTGTTGGAGAACTGACGCGTTACTGTAAGGAAGATCTGGAGATGCAGTCTGTCTCAGTCGTGTGCAATGGGAGCCTCGTTACGGAACGATGGTTTTCCAAATATGGTAAGAAAGACTCTTGGCAAAGTCGAAACTGAATTTCAACAACTGCCTTCCAAGTGCTAGAGAAAGTTTAAGAGCAACAACAAAACTATCAACAAATTTGGCAAATTATAAGGATGCCGTAAGTGAATACTGACCTTTGATTGGTTGAGGAGCAGCATTTTGCGCCAGGTCACCGCGTCACTAAAGGTTGCATTGAGGACTACAAGAGTCAAAATTAAAAATTGGCCAACCTTAACTAAAATTTTACCTTTTTATCCTGTCTGTTTCGTTATTGATTTCATCTCAATTGATTCATCTCAGAGGCTTATCCTTCTATCATCCTTAAAAGAGGTTAATCATACACGAGCATTTATTTTAGTGTTTGACAGCAACTTCTCCTTTGAGTAGATTTACGAGGTCTTACAAGGGGTGATATTGCATAATGTAAAGGATAAGAATTTAAAATCATTTCAAATTTTATTGCTTTGGGGCTTTTACCAACAAATTCGATGCAACGAAATCAACTTGCGCTCAATGAAACCAAACTGTGACTGGAATTAAAGACACAATCGAGCAGTGCTCGCTCTGAATTACAGACAACGAATTTAAAGAAAACATGATGACAGCCTGCGAAGTATGAAGTCGCTTTTCACTTTATAAACTGCGGTGTTTTACAATGATTTCCTGTTTAACCCATGGTGTTTATACAAGAAACGAAATAATACATGGTTCGTGTTCAACTCGATATCGCACTCGTTCGCGGCACTCATTCGTGCGATATCCAGTTGAACACTTGAAGAAAAATGCCATATCTACGCACGCCCATGTATTATTTCCTATTTATTGATCTTAATTAAATTTTATCTTTGTCATCATGCAACGTTTTCAGGAGAATTTCTGGATATAATGGCTGTGTCTTGTGACAGTTTTGATGAGGAGAAAAATCGTCAGATTGGACGTCATCAATCTGGGAAGGGAAACCTGAAGTGTTTACAGAATATACGTGATTGGTGCAAGAAATACCGCGTGGCCTTCAAGATCAACACGGTGGTTAACACTTTTAATTTTGACGAGGATATGACCGAGCGCATCAAGGAACTCGCCCCAGTTCGTTGGAAGGTATGGATGATGATTCCCCATAGCTAATTTAGAGCACTATACCCAGTTTACTGAATATGAAATGAATAAATTTAATAATAATAATAATATCTTTATTAAGCACTCTAAACAACAAACGTGTTTAGTTACAATGATATGAACTCAACAAGTATAAAACTATTTAACTAACTAAATTGCTAACTGACTGGCTAATAAGAGAACAAAAATCTATTATCAAAAGTCCTCTTGAAACGTTCAGATCTGACAAGCGGGAGAATATAACTATGACGCCTCTTACGTAGCGTAACCATTGGTCGCTCTGGTGGCAAAAGGTCATCTAAAGCTGTGGTAAAATTGCTGTCGGTGATCTTGGCCTACAACTTCTTATCTTTTAGAGTAATAATATTTTCAATCGAAAAAAGCTCTTTACAGTAGCCAAGCTTAAAAGCTCTCTTGAACAGCCTGTCTATGCGACTCAGATACTTATGATAATACGCGCAGCCCCATACTTCTACAGCATATGTAAATATAGGTAGAATAAGACTGATAAAAAGAAGATGAAGATGATCCAGCGGCAGTCCATAGAATTTACAAACACGTAAGATGTACAGACGACTACTGGCTTTCGATATAATATTATCAAAATGTAAATCCCAGTTACACGGATCAGATTGAAAAGT